CTTCTGCGGGGCAGGTCGACGGGGTGGTCGCCAGCCTGCACTAGACTGTCACGGGGCTGGATCCATCGACCATGGAGCTCGACAGTTGCATCCGATTGGGCTGGTCGACAGGTGGGCCTTCGACCAGGGGAAGCAGTTCGACTGGAAGGTCGACGGAGCAGTCCGTCGACCTGACATGTGAGCGGCGGTCGACGAGGGGAGCTTGGCGACACCAGGTGACAGTGCCGGTCGACGGAGGGGTCCGTCGACCGGGCGTTGCTCGACAGGAGCTGTGGTCGACCAGAGGCACTAGGTGGTCGACCAGAGGCACCTGGTGGTCGACCAGAGGCACCTGGTGGTCGACCAGAGGCACCTGGTGGTGTCCAGGCCGACCAGGTAGCCTGCTCGGCGAGTTCTGCAGAGGCGCGCGAACGTCGTCAAGGTCGCAGTGACGAAGGTGACTTCGGGCTGGTATCTCGAAGTCGATGTGGCTCGTCAGGCGCAGACAACAGCCGACGGATGCACAACGATGCAAGTCGGGCCAATCGTCTGCGCGCACCTGTGAGCACGCGCACTGCTGCCATCTACGGATGCAACGCTGGACGGCCGCTCTGCTGCAGCGTTGGCACGCCGTCGACCTGCTCTGTTGGCAGGTCGCCTTTCTGCAGTGCTGGCGCGGCTCCTCTATGCAACGCTGGCAGGCGGTCGACCATGCAGTGCTGGCAGTCGACCAGGCTAGCTGCAGAGTTGCTAGGTGCCTGATGTAGTCATTTCTGTCATTGCTTGTTCAATCATTCTGGAATACAATCTTTGCCTAGTAAAACTCTTGCCGATTTCTCCTGTGAATACGTAAGCGCCAAGGAACTAAGCAAAGCTGCGATCACTCCTAGTAGTTCGTGCCAACCCCCATAGTCTAGCTCACTACCGTTGTAGAGTGGATCTCCGCAGGCCTACGCTTAGGGACTAGCCGGGCATAACTGCAAGTGTGGCACTAGCTAGCTCGCAAGCCCTCGGGTATCGTTTGAATGTTTTCACGATTAATGTTCGCCCACATTGTTCGTTTTGCCACCACTGGTTTATTCAGTTGCACAAGTAACAGTTACAGTTCTTTGTCCTCGCAGGTGCTGTGCCGTGGGCGACGAAACAAGCCTGCGCCAATTCAGCCACGTGTAATCAAACAGTATGTCTCTGTGTGTGCAGACTGGTTTGCTGGAGGCCAGGGCCTGGCCGTCGATGGTGCTTCCTATGGCCACCTGCTCTAGCCTCCCTCGATTCTGCCGAGGACAGAACGAGAGTGTCTGCTTAACGCGTATATGATTCTTGGAGGTTCGTTGCGTTATCAAGAGTTTCCATATTCTTTAGTACGGTGAAAAATGGTAGAGAGCTGCAAACCAACTTCAAGGGGCACGCATTAACTACCACCGCACCACACCGCCCCACTGACCTCCCTCGTCACATTCTGGACCATGGCCATTCTTTGCCCTGTCGCCGCCACAACCACCGCCATCCTCTCTACTCCTGCTCAGCTTTACAATACAGTATTACAGCCAGCCAGCCGCCTCTTGGCTGGAGATACGCTTCCTACTATGGGAAAATGCGTCATTCAAAGAGGTTTCATGTACACGCGTGCAAAATCCGGAATATTAGGCCAGAGGCGATTCTCGCTACCTGTAATTTTAGCAGCCGAACTAGCCGGAGGCCCCACGTCCTTGGTCTGTGACTTGCTTCTCTGCTTCTCAGTTTCAACCGCCATAGCTGTGTCCTTGTATAGTAGACTATGAAGCATTACCAAGGCATGTGCATTTGAGCATTATACAATCAGTAGAGGTCCCAATTTCTTTGCTTTTCCCAGGAGCAAGCACAATAATCTAGTTGCCTTTTCAATCATCAAACAATAGTTTACAGTAAAAAAAGCAATTCCGTGCGAGTAACAAAATGAGTTTTCCTCAGGGCTCAACGCAGATTGCGAGCGGCACGCCAGACGAGCCACCATACGGCCGAGAGCCGACGATTTCTCGTCGCACGTCGCTCTTAGACGTGTCGCCGCAGCACGCGCGACTCTTCCGAGCAGCTTCCGGCATCGTCAACAGCGGTGTTGGAGGCTATAAAGGGAACTTCCCAGGAAAGAAAGGTCGATCAGCGAGTGCGGACACGGATGACTCGACGGCAGCCATTGGCGGGTACAATCGAGTGCAATCGCTGCTCGTCCAACGGTCCCCCCCCGTGGACAAGCAACAGCTGCTACTGCAGCAGTCGCAACAGCAGTCGCAACAGCAGTCGCAGCAACAGTCGCAGCAGCAGTCGCATCTGCCGTCGCATATCAGTCGCACGGTGTCGCTTCTAGACGGGAAGAGCGTCATCGCGATGCATCAAGGGTTTACGCCGTCCATGCTGGGCCTACAGCGGGGGCCGAATGGAATCTCTCCGCTAAGATCACAGCGTCCGCAGTCACACTCCCTGCAGCCTCAGCGGGAGCAGCAGAAACAGCAACCTGCTCTTGCTTCAGACGATGACGATGACGATAACAATGACGATGACGATGGCGATGACGACGAAGACGAGCCGGAAAACGAGGCGGATAAGTTTGGACGGTCCATGACGCTCGGGTGCAAGCCGAGGTTCCAAAACTCCCCCTTGAAACCCGCTCGCGGGACAGTCGGCGCGATCGGTCTTAAAACCCTGGCTATGGCCTCTAGTGGAAACGCCGTTCCCGGACGCGGCGTCACCGCTAGCAGCGGCGTTGGCGCGAGCAGCGGCGTTAGCGTTAGTGGCGTCGCTAGCGCTGGTAGCGCCGTTACTGCGGCTGGAAATGGTGCTTCTTCTGGCGCCGCTGCTGTCGGGTCTGTAAATATCGGGGCTGGAGGCAGTGCTGTCGCGAACAGACAGGTTGGCAGCGAAACGGGCGTAAAGTTTTCGCGAGCTGTGACGATTGGCGAAGTGGACGTGCGAAAGAGGTCCGCGCAGCAAGGGCAGCAGCGACAGGCGCAGCCGCAACGAGGGGCAGTGGGTGTGGCGGCACTTGCAGCAGCAGCTGCTGCGGCAAAAGAAAAAGGGAATGCAGGAGCAAGGATCACAGGAGGAGTAGCAGGAGGGGGAATGGTAACAGGAGCGGGACCAGTAACAGGAGGGGGAGCAGTAACAGGAGGGGGAGGGGGAGCGGTGGTAGCGGGAGCACAGTCACAAGGACTAAGGCGCGCAATCAGCGGCCAGGTCCTGCCCGTCAGCTTGCAGAAATCCGCGTTACAAGGCGACGGGTTACCAGGCACCGCGAAGAGCCCGAGCCTCCACGGGGAGGCGGCAGGGAGTGAGGGTAACGGGGGAGATTTCACCAAGGCTGTGACTACAACGGGGTATAGAGGGCGGGCGGGCGGCGGGGTGCGTGCTCTTAATTTGGGAGGGAAAAAGGTTGCAGATCCTAGGGTGTTTAGTGCGCAAGGGGGGGTTGGGGGAGGTACATCCACCCCTACAATGGATAGCAGTGGAAGAGTGCTGGTGCAGCCGTTGGGTGTGAGGGCTGCTGCTGCTCCTCAGTACTCGCCAGTCCAGCCACGAGGCTCGACAGCAGGTGCAGCGTTGAGGGCAGGCTCGGGAACAGGTTCGGCAGCAGGTTCGGGCTTGAAGGGGGGAGGAGGAGGGGGAGTCGGGCGCCCTGCGCGGACCGTGTCCGCCATTCCGCGGATGGAAGGGCTCGGGGGAAGCAGCCCTGGGGGGAGCGCGCTTAGGGGGAACATCTCTGGCGCGGGGGCATTGGTGTCCCCCACCCGTGCGGGGTTTCCCCAGCTGGCGCAGGTTGGGGAAGAGGGGGAAGTGGGGGAGGGGGAGGCGGCGGATCTGCCTATGCTGCCAGCACCGGGATTGCCTCAAGTCGTGCAGGTGAGGCGATTGGTATGATGAGGTGATGGGGATGGTATGGTTTTTAGGGCCTCAGGTCGTGCAGGTGAGGGTGAGATGATGGGGATGGTATGACTTTTAAGGCCTCAAATTGTGCAAGTGGGACGATGGGACTGGTCTGGTTTTTGAAGCCTCAATTGTTCAGGTGAGATGGTTGTGGGATGATTGGAGTGCGTGAGTGAGGAATTGATGGGGATGGTCAGGTCAGGGATTGGTTGGGATGGTTCAGAAAGAGCGGGAGTGGGTTTGAATTTGTTAAAATAATTCAAAATCATATCATTGCCAGGACAAGAAATTATGCCGGACAGTGAGATAACGAATTCACGCCAAAGAAGGGAAGGTGTTTAGCTGTCTTGGTAGGTCAACAATGAAATGGCACTTGGAAGAGTTTTTTGGTGGCTGTTATGACGAACAGGACTTGCTTGTTGAGATAAGCTCACGGGTTTAGGCGGAATGCGAAGCTCATGTGAGCTCGTTAGTGTAAGCTTCGTTTTTGTCTGCTAAGGTCGTGTTCGCAAAAAAAAAAAAAGGTGGCGCTTAGAGCTTTATGTTTGCGATTTCTTAGACATTGATTTCAAAGTTCCGGCTTAGAAAGTTTTAAATCAAGGCAAATCAATTTGTAAACAATGGACTTCTATCTACGAGACAGCAATGAGCACATTTCCCGTTTCGTTTGAGACGTCTCAGAGAACGTTTCTTTCTTCAATCTTCTTTTCTCCTTTCCTGCCATTTCTCCCGCCTTTCTCCTGCCGTTTCTCCCGCCTTTCTCCCGCCTTTCTCCCGCCTTTCTCCCGCCTTTCTCCCGCCTTTCTCCCGCCTTTCTCCCGCCTTTCTCCCGCCTTTCTCCCGCCTTTCTCCCGCCTTTCTCCCGCCTTTCTCCCGCCTTCATCTCTCAGTGCCAGCACTGCGGGCAGCTACTGGAGGTCCCTGCCGTGCTGCCGCCCACCAAGAAGGGCATTCACAAGCTGCGCTGCGGCAAATGCATTGGTCTCTCGCGCTTTCGAGCCTTTGTCGCCCACATGCCGCACTTACAGCAGCAGCTGCAGCAGCAGCCCCAGCAGCAGCCGTTTCAGCAGCAGCAGCAATCTCAACAGCATGTTCGTTCCTCATCTCTCTCTGCCATTGATGCTATGAAGCAGCACCCCTGTGCTCTCTCTTCTTCCACTGACAGCACTGAATCGAAGGCCTCCACTAGTGACGAAACAGCAGCCACTGTACAGAGTCCTGGGGCTGCCACTAACGGGGCTGCTCTTAAAGGGTTTGGTGCTGCAACAGGTTTGGGCAGAGGGAGGAACAGCAGGGTCTCCAATTCTAGTCCCTCCAAGCCTTTCAAATCAGGTTTGGGGGCCGGCAGGTCGGAAACAGGCTCGGCAACAGGTCCAAGAACAGGCTCAGGAGCAGGTTCGGCAACAGGCACGGATGGTCGGGGGAGGATAACTAGGATTGGGAGCTCTGAGTCGCTTAGGAGCAACAGCACTGGAATGCCGTCCCCTGTAGGCTCGGTAAGAGACTCTTCTGACAGTGAGTCTCTAGCTGGTGCTTCCCCTGCAAAGGCTGGAAGCAAGGGTTGGGGTGGTGCTGGGGCGCAGAGCGGGGATGCGAGGCCGACGTACTCGCGATGTGTGGTGGTGAACGGGGAGCCAATCAGTGATGACCGCGTGGCAGCTGCAGAGCAACGTGCGGGGCCGATCCAGCCCGGGAACTACTGGTAAGTGCATGTGCATGCCCCCCCCCCCCCCCCCCCCCCCCCCCCCCCACCTGGAAGTCACTTGGTACCGCCATTTTGATTTGAGTAAAATTCCATTTGGCAGCCTGGTCTTTAAGTAAAGTTAATATCTGCACGCATTTGTTGCCCTCCGTTTCCACCTATCTGTCTGTATCACCAACTCCCTTGCAGGTACGACCAAGTGTCAGGTTTCTGGGGCCAGATGGGAGGGCCTTGCCTTGGGATGATCCCGGTGAGTTGGCAGCAGCTGCTGTTTTGGCATCACTTTTGAGAATTCTCGAAACTGATCCCAAGGTTTCTGGGGCCAAATGGGACGACCTTGCCTTGGGATGATCCCGGTGAGTTGGCAGCAGCTGCTGTTTTGGCATCACTTTTGAGAATTCTCGAAACTGATCCCAAGGTTTCTGGGGCCAAATGGGACGACCTTGCCTTGAGATGATCCCGGTGAGTTGGCAGCAGCTGCTGTATTGGCATCGCTTTTGAGAATTCTCGAAACTGATCCCAAGGTTTCTGGGGCCAGATGGGAGGGCCTTGCCTTGGGATGATCCCGCTGAGTTGGCAGCAGCTGCTGTATTGGCATCGCTTTTGAGAATTCTCGAAACTGATCCCAAGGTTTCTGGGGCCAGATGGGAGGGCCTTGCCTTGGGATGATCCCGGTGAGTTGGCAGCAGCTGCTGTATTGGCATGCCTGAGGGCCTTGGATTAACTTGCGAATATCTTGGAGGATTGAATCTGAAAAGCTCACCTTATTCGGCGAGTTCCTGAGTTATGATTCCTGAGGCGCCCAAGGAACTGCTCGGGTGGCGACACCAAGGTGTATGTGAAAAGGGGGCTGCCACTGACGGACGGACACATTCACACACTCTCTCCGTCTCATCCGTACCATTCTCTCTCTCCGCGTCTCTCTGGGGCCTGCCCTCCCGATAAACTGCTCTGGGGGCAGCACCAAGGTGTATGTGAATGTGAGGGAGCTTCACCGCAAGGACCATAGCAGTGACCCTAACACTCTCCCTGATTCCCCCAACCCCCCTCCCCCTCCCCCTCCCCCTCCCCCTCCCTTTCTCTTCCTCCACAGCCTGCGATTGAGCTTGGGCCACTGCTCTGGGGGTGACAGCAAGGTGTATGTGAATGCAAGGGAGCTTCACCGCAAGGTCCTTGACAGACTCGTTAAGAGAAGTCTAGTTTTGAGGCGCCTCAAAACTGGACAGACTCGTTAAGAGGGGGACTCTTGCTGAATCACAGATGCATTGACTGCTTCTTTTTCTCCTCCCTACCATACTGCCTCTCTCCGCACCAGCCTGCTATCGACCTGGGGCCTGCCCTCCCAAGGAACTGCTCGGGTGGCGACACCAAGGTGTATGTGAATGCGAGGGAGCTTCACCGCAAGGACCTGGACAGGCTCGTGAAGAGAGGCCTACCGCTGACAGACAACATGGCGTATCGAGTGGAGGCGAATGGGAACGTGTTTGACGGTCTCAGTGGCGAGTTCCTGGTCAACCTTGGGAAGCTCGCGCCATCGTGAGTGGGAAGCGTGTTCGTGAGTTGTGATGTGCACGGGGTGTAGGTCGGAGTGTGGGGTGGAGGCGAGTGGGAGCGTGTTTGACGGTTTCAGTGGGGAGTTCCTGGTCAACCTTGGGAAGCTCGCACCATCGTGAGTGGATGGCGGGGGTGTGACCCTGAGACAAGTTGGGTGATGTGCTGGTAGGAATATGCTGGTGATGTTTTTATGAATGCATGGTCTCCTTTTGAGTGGAGCTGCACTGAAATGTGTCGGGTGGAGTTAAAACCGGGGTGCACATTCACCTGGGTGGGCATCAGGGGTTATCCCTTGATGCCCACATTACGGCCAAATTTGGCCTAAACCCCCAAATTTACTGTTCCCCATCCTGAATGTGTACCCCGGTTTTAATGGGAAGTTCCTTGTTGAGTTCGAGAAGCGTGCCGCATTGTCATTCGATTTCTGAGTTCAGTCGAGACACACACAGGAAGTTGATCCGTTGTGCTACTTGCATGTCACTTCACACATAGTGCTTAGAAGCACACGCACACACATTAGATCTCCTAGTCGGTGCATGCATGCCATCAAATCCCTCCTCTTTCCTGCTATCCCCTAACAGTCTTGACAATCGGAAGCGAGGACCTGGAATGAGGATTCCAGACCAGATGCCACCAAGTAAATAGCCCTGGTTCAGTGCCACACTACTAGACATTTTTTTGGCATTTGTTTACGTGACCATACCTGCTACCCCTTACGTAATGGATGAATCATAATAAATGGAAATCAATGGTGTAAACATAAAAGATTTCACACATATAGACCAGGCTTTTTGCAATGTGTGGGTGTATGCTTCAATGTAAGATGCACGAATTTGCATTGGAGTGGCTGACTATGTTACTATGTTACGGCAACAGAAAGTTGAGTGCACCTTCTAGCGCAGATGTCGTATGTCGGTATGGAATGAATCCCGTGCTGATGTGGCCTGCTTGTTTTGGGGATATCCACCGATGCGGCATGAACTGATTGGTTGGAATTGCAGCATTGCTTCGCTTTCATCTGCAAAATCGTGTGGCGCTGGAATATCGGCAATGATGAGCTCCCATCCATTCGATTCGGTGAAACGTTCTAGCTCCTTCCAGAGGATATGGATAATGATGGAGCGGTGCGCTGGCTTTTGAATATTTTGTCTGCCCGCCCTTGAGTCTTTGTTCCCTGATCTTTTGTTCTGAACACTCAATTTGTACAGAACACCTCAATCGTTGTGGTTCACTTTCGAAAGATGAGCTCACCGGATCAAATCTCCCCTGCGGCGAATTCTGCCAGCCCCCACTAAGAGGGGCTACACAGTTTCTCATCTGGGAGTGGATAGAACATCCTCGTACCCAGCGAGGCGAGTAAACAAATGGGTAGGCAGGTTACGACCGACAGCGTGGTAAATACCAAAGGGGGTTTCCCCTATAACCTTTACCTCAATCGTTGTGGTGGGGGTACAGTAGTGTCTATGGCTGGGTTGGTTGGGGAGGGGATCGTTGAACTGAATTGTGGCGGGTGGATGCTTCAGATCTGCTGCGTGTTATGGTTATGATTACAATCTGGAAACTCGTGCGCAAAGCAGTCTTTTATGGTTCGTCCACGTCATCATCTAGGGCCCTTGCATTTGCTCGTCACCGCGCTTTGGGATGAGAAAGGCTGTTCAAGAATCAGTGGCAGATTGATGCCAGGTGCCATCAAGTGGCGTATCCTTGTGGCTGCGTCGACAACAGTGCAGACTTTCATTTCGGGGTTTTTATACGGGCCGTCACAAAAAATTTCGGAGTTATCACGAGCAGTTACATGTTCCTCCAAATCTATCACGGACAGTCACAAAATCTGCCAAATCTATCACGAACCATCACACGGGTATCACCCGCCGTCACTCAAAGGCACTAATTTCTATCACGGGTAGTCACACTCGAAACTTTGCTATCACAGATGAGCCCTCTCATCATTTCGTTGACCCGCCTTGAAATACTGTGAAGATTTAGGGACTAAATTTCGGATTGCTGGCTTTTGTCCTGTATACGCGACCATTTTGGGTGCAAAGATACCTGGTTACGTTCGAATCGACGTAACACATTTTTGTTTAAAAGTTTTATGAAGTAATTCGAACACACATATATATATATTGCTAGAGTTCACAATTCATTGGATCTGCCTAAATGTTTATCAACGCACAATTTATATTTCGTCATACAGCGGATATAGTGTACAGAATGAGAATGATCTCACCGTAATACTGTAACACTAGCCTTCAATTAAATACTACAGACATATAATAATATCATGTCAGCCTATCTCCTCAGACTTTAAATACAGAGGCATTGTATCACAAGGGTTTAGGAAACCATGTTGCACAAACTATGCTATGTACTGCAAATTTTACATCTAGTCAAGCATTGCCGATGTGTTTAAATTGTGAACTCTAGCAATATATATATATATGCGTTTGAATTCTTTCATAAAATTTTTTGAAACAAAAGTGTGTTACATCAATTCGAACATAACCACTTATCTTTGCATCCAAATTGGTCGCGTATACAAGACAAAAGCCAGCAATCCGAAATTTAGTCCCTAAATCTGTACACTGTTTCAGGGCGGGTCAACGAAATGATGAGAGGGTTCATCTGTGATAGCAAAGTTTCGAGTGTGACTACCCGTGATAGAAATTAGTGCCTTTGAGTGACGGCGGGTGATACCCGTGTGATGGTTCGTGATAGATTTGGCAGATTTTGTGACTGTCCGTGATAGATTTGGCGGAACATGTGACTGCTCGTGATAACTCCGAATGTTTTGTGACGGCCCGTATAAAAACCCTTCATTTCGAGCTTTTTAATTTGTTTGTTTTTTTTTTTGTTTTTTTAGCGGCATCAAAGTAGCAGTTTTTTGCCCTTTTAGCTCATTTTCCGCTTTGAGTGTACATGTGGATTTGCCGCTGCTCGCAAAGATCAGCACATGGGGCAACGTATACTTCTGTTGCACGCTTAAAATTCAGATCGTCCTGACCTGAAGCCGCGTGAAACCTCTCCTCAGTGCCACGCGTCTCTGCATTTTCCGCATTCCCTTTGACGGGGTACACAACCTTTGCCCAAAATCTATCGCCAAGACACGAAATTTTGACGGTTACAGTTTACACTGAACAACTTCAAGAAAGAAAATCTGCCCGTGTTCTGCCCGTGTATTTCAGTGCCTCGGATTTTCAGTCAATGCCCGTGCCTAGAACGCCCGTGTTTTGTGCTGCTGGTTCACTTCACAAGCCCTTCCCTCCCGCCCCTTCCCACCAACAAGACTCGGCTTGTTCGTTTCACATCCTCCTTGACATTCAATCCAACCCAGTCAGCAACACTTGGATAGATAACAAGCAGCCTCTCACCAATTTCAAGTCCCGCAGCTGTAGGTTTCGAGGGTGTAGCACAGCAGTGTTGCTTAGCTACCTGTACCACGTCGTGCGTCCAGTGGAACAAGCAAGCGGTTGTAGTCGTTCGTACCTGCGAGCACTTCTACCCACCCGACTAACCCCCTTGCTTTGTTCTGCAGAAATTCTCAGGCTTTCGAGCTACCTGCACTTGCTCCTGCTCTGTCTAGAGCCATGGCAAATGAACGCTCGTCGGAAATCGCCTCCGCATTTGCCGCCACCAAATTCTGCTCATATCCAGCCTACTCCTACCTACCACGACCGCACTCCACCGCATCAGCATCCATGTCCCTCGTCTCCGCTCTCAACCACGACCCCATGCTATCCGCGCAACACTCCATGACCCCTTCCTGCAGCGTCGTTCCCCCGGACGGCTCCTCCGCCTGGCCCTCTTCCGCGGCTGCAGCCGCTGCTGCGGCGGCGCAAGCGCAGTCCCACGCACCCGTCTGGGCCTCCTCGCCATTCCAATGCCAGGCCCTTCCGCCTCCCGCACCCAACGGCTCCGCATGCTTCTCGTTCCCCGGAGCCGAGCCTCCGCCGCCCATGTTCACTTTCCCGCAGTTCCGCCTGACGAACACTCTCGCTGCGGCGCAGCTAATGGAAGCGGGAGCTTCCGCTTCCGCTGCTGCCGCCGCGGCGTCTGGATCTGACAGCAAGGGCAAGCGGCTCAACGAGAATGCGTCAGAAGCGTTAAGCAATCCGGCTCTCGCGCTGCGTCCGCGAAAAAGAGGACGTCCTTCGAAGAAAGATCGCGCTGCAGCCGCGGCGGCAGCTGCGGCGGCGGCAGCGGCATCGCATACCGCTTCTGCAGCTGCACGAACTGCGTCTGCCGCGATTGGCGCAGCCTCTCTCGCCGGCGGTACCTCTGCAGATTGTAACCCGCTGGAACAGACACCTGCTGGCGTTACTGCCGTTACTGGCGGTACCACGACCACGGACCAATCCAACCTCACCACGAGCCAGCCTGGAGAGCGAAAAATGCCGCAGCTTTTACCACGTATTCCCGCCTCTGCCACTTCTATTCCCTCCGCCGGGTTTCCGCCCGTGCACGTGTCTACGCCGTACGGCGCGAATCTAAGCTCGTCTCCTATGCACCCGTCGATGTTTTCCGGTGGTCCCTATGCTGCGGCGGCAGCGGCGGCCGCGGCGGCTGCGGCAGCGGCAATGGCTGCGCCAGTCGGTGGCGCCGCTGGGCCGTGTTCGTCGCTAGGATCGTTTTCGCAGGTCATGTACGAAGCTGCGCAGCAGCAGCAGCAGCAGCAGCAGCAACAGCAACAGCAGCAACAACTGCAGCTGCAGCAACAACAGGCCCAAATAATGCAATCGCAAATGTTCGCAGCTGCTACGCCTCTTAGCGCAACGGCGGGGAACGTGCCGCCGCCTGTCCTTGGTATCCCTGTTCACGGCTATAATATTTTCTCCTTGGTCAAACCGCTCGAGAGCACGCTACGCGCGCCGTCCGTGAGCTTGCCGCAGCCCTCCGTTCTGAAACCGGCTGTGTCCGTCGCAAACGGCGCAACTGGCGGCGCCGCTAACGATGCCGGTTTGTTACAGGTTCAAGAGCAGCAGGGCAGTAGCGGCGCTGTGAAACCCTCCGCGGCGGCGGGTGCTGGTGGGGCGGAGAACGGTGGAAAGGATGGGGATGCGGCTTCTCCTGGCACTGCAGGTCGATCTTCGCTGACTTCTGAAGTGTCCCCCTCTCCTGACGCAATCCCAGCCATCGATTGGATGCTGGGGCAGATGAAACGTTCGCTGGGACAGCCGAAAAAAGAGTCTGCTGCAGCAGCGTCGAGTGTGGTGGCGGAGCACGGGGATGAAACCCCTGCTGCAGCGGGCACTGGTTCCGCCGGAAGTGGTTCCGCATCCGCGTGGCTGCCTGTCCCCCGGTCGCACAGATCTGCGCCTCCCCCGGAAGTTGTTAACGCAGCTGCGAAGCTTTTGGCGGGAACCGGGACGCTGCTCGACCAGAATGAAACCAAGGGCCTTGGGAACACCGCGAAGTCCAAAGCAACCGCGTTAGGGTTTGGTTCAATGGCAGCGGTTCCGATAAAGGGCGTTGCATTGAGTTTTGCGTTTGAAGCTGCTAAAGGGGCAGACAATGGAGTTGATGCAGCAGGTGGAGGGATGGATGAAATTAAGCAGCAGAGAGGAGCTTCTGAGGTTGATCTTACCCTCAAACTCTAAAGATATGGTCAAACTCTTCAAGGTTGTGCTGAAATAGCGGCTGTGTCAATTCTCCTAGTTTCTAGTTCTCAAGGGCTGACATAGATTCTCAGAGTTCCCTTGTGTTCAGACACCTGGACGGGTTGCTGCTGCAGTGGTTGCGGAAGCTCCAGTGGAGCAGTATTGGCATGCCATCCTATTTAATATCTTCATCTAGCATATGGATTCTTTGGTGCTTGGTCTTTCTGGGTGTGGTTTGCTGATTGAGCGCTACCGTATTTGTGTTTTCCTAACACTTTTGGTTTCCATTCTGACTTAATAGAAATATTATAAGAAAGGATATTAATGCCACATGAATTTCGGAGTTAGAAAGGATACTGTATGTACATAGTTATCTGTTCCAGACCAACTTGTGGGGCGCCCTCCAACTGAAGAGTTCAATACTGTGAGGTAGCACGAGGTTAGGACGCGTCCCCTCTGGCTCGATCCTGCAAAAATCGATCTTCCACCGTACTAAAACCTTGATTAGTGCTTCTAAAACTTTCAGAAACTTTTCTAACCCCGCCAAAAATCGATCCTGCGAACCAAAAATATAAAAAATTTTAAGCGTTTTATCGCTTTCAAATTTGCGTATTGTGAAAGCGAAGCTGACTGTAACGCAATTTGTGCATCGTCGAAGCGCGGTATTCGCCTTCTCCGAATATATAATGTGGGCTGGGGTCATTCTTCCCCCACCCACGTCTCTCATTTTACAATCGCTCAAGTTCAATTCCCACCCACCCTCCCCAGGCTAGTCAGCTTATGAGAGTAGTAGTTCTTAGACATTTTGGATGTGATAGTATATTAGTATAACTGCTAGGAACTGTTGTACTTGAACCCATTGTAATGAGAACGATGCCAATTGCGACAGAAGCAAGCTTTCTCAATCGCACGATCGGTGCTAGAGGTGACGCGTCCTTAGCATTGCTGACACAGAAAGCCACAGCCAGTGCGCAGCTTTTTCGCGCTCACGCCTGCTTGCCGTAACTCACCACGGCATTGCGGCTACAACCTGCGCCGTTCTGACTGACCATCACATTTCACGAGAATGGCGGATTCCTGAAATGGATTTGACCTAAAATCACGCGATCCGTGCGCATTTCACGCTGCTGCAGGAGGCTACCTGATACGTGGTCTTGTCGGCAGTTCACCCGTCAAATGGTCGCAGCAGATACGAGTTATTTTTGGAAATTCTCAAAAGTGGTCTCAATATGAGTTACGCGGCCTATAAAGTCGTCCACCCGCCGACCGGCGTCACCTGCTGTGCGTCCGGTTTCCTTACTCGCTCCGCGGCCGCCGAGCCTCTGCCGAACCTGATCGTCAGCCGCGGAAATGTCCTGCAAGTTTTCTCTGTCCGGAGCGAGGGGTTGCGCGGGGAGGCGGAGGAGGGGGAGCGGAAAGGGGAAGCGGGGACAGATGGGGGAAGTCAGAAAGATGCTGGAAGCAACGTTCTTCCAGGAGCAACCCTTGATGTTGTCTGCGAGTTCAGGTGGGAGCAAATTCATTATTAAAAGCAAAGGTAGGAAAGGCACTTCCAGGAGCAACCCTAAACGTTGTCTGCGAGTTCAGGTGGGAGAGTAAATGCAAGAATGGAAGCGAAGGTAAAAAGCAACCTTCTTTTTTCATCCTTCCAATTGACCTCCTTTTCTCCTTTTTCCTCTTGCCTCAGGCTGAACGGAGTGGTAGAGAGCATAGCGGTCGTGCCAGGCGCTGCAGCAGCTGACGCAGCAGGCTGGGTGGGGACTGGGGAGGTGGATCTAACTCCTCCGCGGGTGGTGGGGGGAGAGGAGGGGGGCGAGGCGCGGCAGGGGGAGAGGGGGCCGGGAGAGGAGGGAGAGGGAGGGGGGGACGGCAGTCAGGAAAGAGAGAAGGAAGAGGTGGTGGGGGGAGCGCAGGGGACCCGAGCACAGTGCAGGGTTCTACTGGTAGTGGCATTGGCAACAGCAGCGGCACTGGCAGTGGCAGTGGCAGTGGCGGCATGGGCTACAGTGGGCGCAAGGATGCATTGGTGCTGACGTTTCGAGAGGCCAAGGTGTCCGTGGTGGAGTTTGATGATGCGGTGCAGAGGCTTAAAGTCAGGTGCGGCTGGTGGTGCATGGGTATGAGTGTGTGTGTGTGGGTACTTGCACTGGGCAGTGGGCAAGGCATGTCAAGTCAAGGCACACTACGCAGTGTGCCAAGGAGTTTGACGATGCGGTGCAGAGGCTTAAAGTCAGGTGCGGATGGTGCATGCATGCATGGTATGCGTGCCTGCGCGGGCGCATTGGGCAGTGGGGCAAGGCATGTCACTTTTGAGAATTAATTCTTAAAAGTGATTTCAGCATGGCATGGCACACCATGCGAGGTATCTATGTCTCTGTGGTGGAGTCTAATAGTGTCACTGAGAGGCTGGTATCACTCTCTGTATCTCGCTCCCACTCACTCTTTGACCCACCCACCCACCCACCCACCCACCCACCCACCCACCCGCACTGTGATCCCAACAGCTCCCTGCACTACCTCGAAGGGCCCGAGTGGACGGCTCGAAAGCGGGGCAGAGAAAACTTTCCGCTCCCGCCCATCGCGCGGTCTGATTGGTTGGGCAGATGCTCAGCTGTGCTGGTGTACCGCTGTCACCTCCACTTCCTCACTCGCAAACAGACAGGTCACAACCAGACAGGCAGCACAGAGACAGGACCGGACACCATTATGTCTCCCACAGCCCAACGTTCTGCTCCGTTCAACAAGACTGGTTCGGACCGAACCTCTTTGGACCGGAATTCTTCGTTGAAGGGAGGCTTGGACCGGTCCTCCTCTTTTCGAGGAGGCTCGGCAGGCGAAGCTCCTAGGTTTGGTGGCTCGTTCACCATTGACTTGCGCCCCCTTGGGATTTCCAATGTAAGGAATCCGCACCGCAGCCTGCAATGCTGTGGATGCGCACATGCGAGGCTGTAGTTAGTCTGCATTTTTTAGGCGCCTTAGAAATTGTCCCCTTGGGATCTCCACGGGTAAGACATCTGCACCATGGTCTGCAATGTTGTGGTGGATGCGTGGCCGTAGGAAGTCTGCTGCATGCACGAAATGAGATTCCTGAGTCGACTCAAAATCAGGTAGCCAGCATACACGAGGTGAAATTCCGCAACACTGCGTACACAAATGAAGGGTTTGCAAACCCAAGTCGAAGGATCTGATGCAGCCACTTGGCTGTGCTGTGCGACAACTTCTTTTCCTCTTCCTATGCAACCCTTTCTGTGCCTCTTCCTATATGCCTGCTTTACTAGCCTCCCCCGTGCTTCTGTCAAGCCCCCTCAGAAGCCTTTCCTGTATGCTCAGTTTTCCTCCTCCCCTGTCATGTCCTCCCGAATCATGTCTTCCCGAACCTCCAGGTGCGGGATTTTGTCTTCTTGTCCGAGCCTGGGGATCCCATAGTTGCCGTCCTGTGGGAGGAGGGCAGTGTGTGGGCGGGGAGGCTGGGGGGGTCATCCCCTGCTGTGCTAGAGGCCCGCTTCTCCTGTGCTGTCACGTTCCTGAGAGTGTCGCTGCACACGCGCTCGCACCTCATACTAGGAACCACAAAGGTACGTCAGCAATAGGTTCTGGCAGGTTGTGGGAAGGAAGATGTGGGAAGGCTGGGAGGGCCGTCCCCTCGGTGCTAGAGGCCCACTTCTCCTGTGCTGTCACGTTCCTGAGAGTGTCGCTGCACACCCGCTCACACCACATCCTAGGGACCACAAAGGTGAGGTTTGTTACTCTGTCTTGTGGGGGATACTTTCGGCTGCATCCATCCCAACCCCCCAGTGAAAACCTACCTCAATCCTCCATTCAGCTTCCTTCCCCAACATCCTCCTTAAAAACCTTCCCCCAAACCTCTCCCCGTCTCCCCTCCCTCTCCTCGCCCCCCCACCCACCCCCCCCCCCCCCCCTCCGGCGGCTCCATCCTTCTTGCAGCATCTTCCATTCGACTCCTACGCGCTCTCGCCCGCCCCTTACCCTCCTGGAGGTCTCCTCGTCCTCTCCCCCCACTCCCTCCACTTCTGCTCCTCCTCCTCCACCTGCCACCTGGCGCTTAATGATTCGTCGCCGCCCGCCCTGCCAGATGGCACCGAGATTCCCCGTCCACGTCAGCAGCCGGGGCAGGCGCCGCTGTCTGTGGAGCTGGAAGCAGCCCATGCCACGTGGCTGCCTGTGATTGGGCCTAGTGGAGGGCCGGTTGGGGTTGGTGGGAGCAACAGCGGTGGGAGCAGCAGCAGCAGCAGCAGCAGCTGCTGTTGCGTTTCTTGCGAGTAAAAGCGGGGCGCTGGTGGTGGTGAAAGTTATGCGTGAGCCAAAGTAAGAAACCGGGAAGGAATGCAAAAGAGAGGTTTGAGTTCAAGTACATGACTCAGAGTAAGGGAGAGGAGGGTGTGAGATGCGTGAGTCAGCCCTTTGTGCATTGTCATGCTTCTGAGAGAGTGATCGTGCTATCCCTGTTTCCCTTTGCTTCATTCACCCCTTCTTTATCCCTCTGCGTGTGTCACTTCACCCCCCCTCACAACAGTCCACCCACCCACTCAACCTTTCCTCACCCACTCACTGCGACCCTCAACCCCCCATCCTGCATCCCCCCAACCTTGTGCCACAGGGCATCTACTTTCTGCTTGGACCTTCTCCAGGTTCGGGCCACTGTCCAGGCTTCGGGCATCCTCAGCCTCGGTCCGAACTTGCTGTTCGTGGCCAGCAGGCTCGGCGACAGCATGCTCATTTGCTACCGAGCCAATGAGCATGGACTGGTATGTCACGGTGTAAGCGAGGTCCAGGCTCAAACTGTAACGTTGAGCTTTAAACTCGTGATTGCATTCAACCCTTTTATTTGATCTCTTACAGCTTGTGTCTTTGCCCCTTTATGGAGTTTACTTTTGAGAATTCTCAAAAGTAACCCTCTTTGTATTCGAGCTCTTACAGCTTGTGTCTTTGCCCCTGACTTCCTTAGCTTTATCTCTACTTCACGAATTCTTCTCCTTTTCCCTTCGACTAACTCCATCGCCCCCTCTTTTCGCCTCCCCCCTTCGCCTCCCCCATTCGCCTCCCCCCTTCGCCTCCCCCATTCGCCTCCCCCATTCACCTCTCCCCCGCACTTCCCTTCCGTCCCACGCTTGATCATCCAGGAAAAGCAGCGAGGGGCCAAGCGCTTGAAAGCAGACGAAGCTTCTGTTGGCGATGGCACTGCTGCTGCTGCTGCTGCTGCCGATTCTTCTCCTCCTGCTGATGCTGTTGCTGGTGGGGAGGACGAGGGCTTCTCCTTCCGTGTGTGCGACTCGCTGCTCAACATCGGCCCCATCCGAGACCTCGTGCCCGTCCCAGCCTTCCCCACGCCCACATCCCAGCAGCAGCAACAGCAGCAGCAACAGGAGGGGGGGAAGCCACAGATGTTAGTGGCGTGCAGTGGGCATGGGAAGAACGGTGCACTGTCCGTGCTGCTGCAGCGAGTGCCACTCGATGTGCTCACACAGGTATTCCATGGTGATGGGTGTTGAGCTTTAAGAATTCCCAAAAGTGCCATTGATACGGTGCCCTGTCCGTGCTGCTGCAGCGAGTGCCGCTCGATGTGCTCACACAGGTACTGTGATCGAACTGGGTGGAAATGTCCATTCAGCATTGTGGTCTGTCCACATACCATCCTTTTGAGGCGCCTCAAAATCCGCGAGACATGAGACGACTTTTGAGGCGCCTCAAATGTCCATTCAGCATTGTGGTCTGTCCACATACCATCCCAAAGTTCCGCCCCTGCAAGACCCCACTCTTATTTGTTCCGCTCTCCACCGACAGTAGGAACTCCCTGGCTGCTGCGGCCTGTGGGCTGTCTGTGGCTTTAACCTGCCTTCTTTAGCAAGGGAGGGAGGAGATGGGCTGACAGCAATCCAACTCGTGCCAGGGCCTGTGCCTGTGCCTGTGCCTGTGCCTGTGCCTGTGCCTGTGCCTGTGCCTGTGCCTGTGCCAGAGCCTGAGCCTGCCTGTGACTGCGCCTGTTCCCAACTCGTGCCTTCTGTTCCTCCCTTCTCCCCACCGACAGGAGGACCTCCCTGGCTGCTGCGGCCTGTGGACTGTGTACGGCTCTGAGCTGCCTTCCGAATCAAAGGTGGCAGGAGATGGGCTAGCAGCAGCAGGCGAGGCCACAGGGACAGCCGGAGGAGGGCAGGGAGCAGGGAAGGCTGGAATTGGAGGGGTTGAGGGTGGTGAGGAGGGGTGTGGCGCAGGTGCAATGGAGGTGGAGGGAGGGAGTGGGGTGGGTGGTGGAGAGGGGGGGAAGGGAGATAGAGGTGGAGATTACCATGGGTTTCTTGTGCTGGCGTTTGAAGGACAAAGCATGGTGAGGAGAAGGGAAGGGAGATGTAGCATGTACTGTAAATGATGGCATCAGTTGTCTTGTCGTGTATGTATGTATCACTCTCCCATGCCCAAAGTGAGTTTTTGAGACGTCTCAAAATCTCTTGTAAGAAGTGAGTTTTTGAGACGTCTCAAAAACTCACTTTTGAGATGTGGCATGTACTGTAAATGATGCATCAGTTGTCGTGTATGTATGTATCACTCTCCCATGCCCCTTGCTGTCAGTCGTTGCAGTCTAGCTAGAATCATTTCCATCCCATCAATTCACCATTCTACCTTCTCAATAAACCCTCATTCTCCCCCCTCACGCTCCCTCACGCCCCCTCCCACCCCCTCCCCCTCTCTTCCTTCCTTCCTTCCTTCCCTCAGGTGCTGGAAAAAGGAGAGCTGCTTCGGGAGGTGTCAGCAGAAGACAATTTCATCACCGATGCCCCCACGCTCCTGGCTGCCAACCTCTTCTCCCTCCTTACGACACCTTCCCCATTTCCCCCCTCCTGTGTGCTTCCTCCCACCCTCTTGGCTGCCAACCTCTTCTCCCGCCCCTCTTTCTCTTGCCCCTTTCCCCCTCGGCTCCTTCCCACCCACCCCTCCTTCCTTCCCTCAGGTGCTGGAAACAGGCGAGCTGCTCCAGCAAGTATCAGCGAAAGGAAGTGAGTTTCATCACAGACGCCCCCACCCGCCTGGCTGCCAACCTCTTCTCCTGCTTGACCCTCCTGCCCCATCCTCCCCTCCTTGTCTCAGGTGCTGGAAACAGGCGAGCTGCTTCGGGAGGTGTCAGCAGAGGTCAGTTTTATCACAGACGCGCCCACCCTCCTGGCTGCCAACCTCTTCTCCCGCCGCTGCATCCTCCAAGTCACGCCCTCTGCCGTCCGATTGCTCGCCAGCTCAGCCAGCCTGCTGCAGGAGATGCTGCCACGTGGCATGGTGTCTGGGGGGGAGAATGGGAATGGGGAGGGGAGGGAGGAAGGGAAGGAGGGGGGAGAGCACGTGGAGATTGAGTCTGCTGACGTGGCGGATCCGTATGTCCTGCTGCGATTGGTGGATGGCCGATTCGTGCTGCTAGGCCCAGGTAATGCTCATGGTTTCTGCCAAGATGGTTTGGTGTGGCTCACCGCCCCACCCTGCAGATCCGTCCAAGCCTCTCTTCTTGGTGCCCATTCCATGCCACCTCCCCACTCCTCCCTCTGACCCGATCACAGCATACTCCCTCCTCCTCTCCCCCTCGTCAGTAACAATCGTTCCTTCTCTTTTATCCCATCCCACCCACCCTGCAGATCCGTCCAAGCCTCTCTCCCTGGTGCGCATTCCATGCCACCTGCCTACTCCCTCCTCTGACCCGATCAAGGCATACTCCCTCCTCCTCTCCCCCTCGTCAGTAACATAACAATTGTTCTTTCTCTTTTATCCCATCCCACCCACCCTGCAGATCCGTCCGAGCCTCTCTCCCTGGTGCGCATTCCATGCCACCTGCCCACTCCTCCCTCTGATCCTATCACAGCCTACTCCCTCCTCCTCTCCCCCTCGCCACCCACAACCAATCTCAGTCGCTCCACAACCACTAACAGCAGCACCAGCGCCAGCAGTGCATTAGCTTGTGCCCTTGGCAGTAGTGGTGGCAGCAGCGGTGGTAACAGCAGCAGCAAAGGAACTCCCTCCTCTACTGCTGCTCCTCCTCCTTCTCCTCCTGTTCCCTTGTGTGCGGTGGCTCGTAGATCCGGCCTGCTCCAGATGTACCTGCTCCCCTCCCTTCGCTGCGTGTTCTCCTCTCTGGGCCTTGCGGATAGTCACACTCTCTTGAAGCACACTCCTGCTGCAGCCGCTGCTGCTGCGGCTGTTGCTGCTGCTGCTGCTGCTGCAGCAGAGGCAGGCAAAGGAGGAAAGGACTCTGTTCCTGCAGCAGAAGAAGCTACAAAAGCTACAGCCACTGCTACAGCTGCTGTTACAGCAGGGAGTGAAGCAATGGAGGTGGACTTAAAGCCTGGGGATGCTGAGAAGGAGGCAGTGGGGAAGCAGGGGTCGGGGAAAGGGGGGGTGGTAGGAGATGAGGAGATGATGGTAAAGGAGGAGAGGAGGGATGGGGAGGGGAAGGAGGAGAGGAGGGATGGGGAGGGGAAGGATGAGGGAAAGAAGGAGGCGAAAGAGGGTGATGTTGAGATGGATAGTGGCAGTGGTGCTGGCAATGGTGTGGGTAAGGGCACAGATGTCAAAACAGGGGAGGAGAGCGTGAAAATAGAGGTGAAAGGAACAGAGGGGTCACAGAAAACAGAGGAGGATGGGCAAGCAGGGGCAGTAGCAGCACACACGCCTGCACCAGTTGCCACCTCAGCACACACGTCAGCGCCTGATTGGCCGAAGCAGTTTGTCGTGGATCTGCATGTGTCCGTCAACCCCATCACAGGGCGGCTGTTTTTGTTTGTAGTGCTTTCGGACGGGCGGCTGCTGGGGTTCAGAGCGTTCTGCCCCTCGGGAGCCTCCCCTGGAGATGTGATTGCAGCGAGTGTGACAGTAACGGGGGAGCGGGGTGCGAAGGTGGGAGGGCGAGCAGAGGGAGGAGGACAGGGGGTGGGGGAGGGGGAACCTGGAGGAAGGGCAGATAGCATAGGGGTAGGTGGATTTGGGGTAGGTGGGTTGCGGTTCCAGAGGGTTTGTTTAGAGGAGGAAGAGGCAGGGATTCATGAGGTGGAGGGGGAGGAGGAAGTGGAGGAGGGGAATAGAGAGAGGGAAGGGGCAGGTGCTAGTGAGGGAGGAGGGGAAAAGGGCACAGTGAAGCAGGAGGGAGGTGAGAAGGGGGAAGGCGAGAGTGGGAGAGGTGATACTGCAGCAGAAGAGGAGGCACAGGGGGAGGAGGGTATGGGGAGGAGCAGGAAAGTTGGGAGAGTGAGAAAGAAAATGCTATTCCCGTTTCAAGGGGTGGGGCTGGAGGGGAGTGGAGGAGGGGACGGAGGAGGGGGTGTGGGTGGAAGGGGTAAGAGGGGGATGGGTGATGGGGGTGGTGGCATCGACGGCGTGTTTGTAGCTGGACGCAGACCCAGATGGCTGATGCTGCTGCGAGATAGAGTGTGGATGCACCCTGTGGTGAGTTCTTGTCATTCATTCATGCTATGATGAGCCATGCAACCCATATTGAGCCATGCAACCCATATTGAGTCATGCATGCAGTGCTACCAAATGCCACATGCTTTGGTATCTTGTGCCTTGAATTGTGCTTCTGAAACCAGAAACACCAGAAACTACACACAAGGAAATGTTGCCAAGAATCCTCCCTCTTCTCCCCCTTCTCCCCCTTCTCCCCCTTCTCCCCCTTCTCCCCCTTCTCCCCCTTCTCCCTTCATTCTTCCGCTTCCCAACACATGCAATCCATGCCCCAAATGCAATCCATGCCCCAAATGCAATCCATGCCCCAAATGCAATCCATGCCCCAAATGCAATCCATGCCCCAAATGCAATCCATGCCCCAAATGCAATCCATGCCCCAAATGCAATCCATGCCCCAAATGCAATCCATGCCCCAAATGCAATCCATGCCCCAAATGCAATCCATGCCCCAAATGCAATCCATGCCCCAAATGCAATCCATGCCCCAAATGCAATCCATGCCCCAAATGCAATCCATGCCCCAAATGCAATCCATGCCCCAAATGCAATTCATGCCAAACAAAATCTACTTTTCTATATTCAATTTAGAATACAATCCATGCCACACATACCACACATTCCATCTCGTCCTTATATTACCTTACAATCTTCAACACAGGCCACGGATTCAGCATCGAGCGTGGTGGCAATGGCGCCCTTCCACAACGTCAACTGCACGCATGGCTTTCTCCTCATCTCCTCACTCGGAGTGCTCTCCATCTGCCAGCTGCCCCCCCTTTTCCAGTTTGACAATGCATGGCCATTGAACAAGGTGCGTGAATGCGTGGAGGTTAAACGCTCAAGGAACCCTCTTTTTGTATTTATTTATTTATTTATCTATTTATTTATTTATTTATTTATTTATTTATTTATTTATTTATTTATTTATTTATTTATTTATTTATTTATTTATTTATTTATTTATTTATTTATTTATTTATTTATTTATTTATTTATTTATTTATTTATTTATTTGCACCAGTAATTCACCTTCTCGTGCCTTACCTCCTCTGCCCCGCCGCTGCCATTTCTCTAGAATTCTCTACAAACACTTGCACACTCCAATGCCTTTGCTCTCCCCTCCCCCACTCTCCCCCACTCTCCCCCATTCTCCCCCCCTATACAGATTCCCCTGCGCTCAACCCCTCACTCAGTCACTCTCTCCCCCGACGCAGCTCATCTCTTGCTTGTCACCTCAACCCCCGTATGCATCCCAGCTTTGCTTACTCCCTCCTGCTTTCTCTCCCTATTTGTTTGAACCTTGTTTTTTTCTCTTCTGCGATGCTCCGTTCTCTTTCTCCATTCAAGTATTCCACCTTGTTTTCTTGTTCCCTCCCTCGTTCTGCCACTCACTCTTCCTTTCTCTCTCCCTCTCACTTTCCCCTCTGTCAGGTGTCCCGCCCTGTCTCTCAATTCCTCGTTCCTTCCCTAGAAGACCCAAAAGATCCTTCAACCGCAGCACTAGGCTTGGCCGGACCTGGAAGTCTGGGAGTTCCAGGCAACTCCGGCACAGGCTCGGAAAAGGATGGCGAAGCAGTAGCTGTGGTTGAGGACTTCCAGCTTCGGGTGGTAACCTGCCCGAGCCTGGAGGCTCCAAGCCGCGCCCTGGAGGTTCGGCAGAGCTTTGAGTTCCAGCCGTTTGAAGCGGTGACAATGGTAAAGTCAGTGGTGCTGAGGAATCGCAGCACTGGACAGCTGCAGACGCTCTTGGCAGTGTGTACGACGTTCATAACAGGGGAGGACGCACCTGGGAAAGGCAGGATCCTGCTCTTCGAATATAACCCTCTGGCAACGGCTGATGGGGATGGTCCTGGTGGTGGCGCCAATGCTGCTGTTGATGCGGAGGGCAAGGGGGCAGATCCAAGCAGTGGAGTTCCCTTGGTAAGAACAGACGCATCTGCCTTTCCGTTGGTAAGCCTGCCTTTCCGCCCCTCTTATGTCACACTGCGCTCTTCTAGTACAAGGACTAGGCAAGCTCTCCCCTGTTGCAGCTTCCTGCCTCCCACCACTCAGCGCCTGTCCCCTCTCTCAACCCCTCTCAACCCCTTCTCTCCCAGCTGAGGGAGCTCTATTCAAAGGAGCCTATAGCGGGCAGCAGTCAGAGGGGCAGCGTGGCAGCACTCACAGCATTGCAGGGGAATCTGTTGCTGGCGGTGGGGAGGCAGCTGGTGTTGTACGCGTGGAACGGGGTGGAGTTAGAGGGAATCGCCTTCCTTGATTCCCCCCTCTATGTTGTTTCCATGGGAACGGTGAGTGGTTGGGTTGGGTTGAGTTTTGTACAATCACGCTACAGAGCCTGCATGACAACCTGCTGCTGGCAGTGGGGAGGTAGCTGGCGCTGTACGCGTGGAACGGGGTGGAGTTAGAAGGAATCGCCTTCCTTGATGCTCCCCTATATGTTGTGTTCATGGCCACGGTGAGTAGTGGGGTTTTGCTAAGAGCCGCAGTTCCGTTCAGGGAAACTTGCTGCTGGCATTGTGGCGGCAGCTAGTGCTGTACGTGTGGAATGAGATAGAAATCTCTGTGATTCTTAAGGATGTGTTAAACAGTGTCAACTTCCTTCACAGGAGAGAAGAGGATGCTCAACCCACCCTCCTTTTTCCACCCCATTTCTCTGCCTTGTGTTTCAGGTGAAGAGCTTTGTGATTGTAGGGGATGTGCTAAAAAGCGTCTACTTCCTGCACTGGAGAGAAGAGGGCGCTCAGCTCACCCTCCTCGCACGCGACTTCTCCTCTCTTCCGATCACAGCCGTCGATTTCCTCATCGACGGCTCAGCTCTCGGCCTGCTAGCGGCCGACACAGCCAAGAACCTCCAAGTCTTCGCATACTCCAAGTCGATCGAAACACACATGGGGCAAAAGCTCCTCCTAAAGGCTTCATTTCACACAGGAGAGGTGCTCTCAAAGGTTCTTCGGTTGCCGCTACCCCCTCCTCTTGCCACCACTGGAGGAGGGGTGGGTGGAGGGGGAGGGAAGCAGCAGAGGAACCCAGCAGCGGCAGCTTCGGGCCGGACCAACAGGTTCGGCGTGCTGGCAGGGACGCTCGGCGGGGCTATTGCGGTGGTGACGCCGGTGCCGGAGCTGGTGTTTCGGAGGCTGGACACTGTGCAGCGTTACATGGTAACCGCAGTGGAGCAGACAGCAGGGTTGCACCCGCTGGCGTTCCGGGCGGTGCAAGGGCTGGGGAAGGGGCAGCAGCATTCCGGAGTGGAGCGAATGATTGACTCTCAGCTTCTTGCTCAGTGAGTTGACCTTTCCCATGCCGCCATGCATCCACACACCCTTAGACCCTTGTTTCCCATGCCGGCACCCATTTAGCATGCTCCCACCAGATACACATGGAGGACAGTCAGCACCACTCACATCAGCACCACTCACATCAGCACCACTCACATCAGCACCACTCACATCAGCACCACTCACATCAGCACCACTCACATCAGCACCACTCACATCAGCACCACTCACATCAGCACCACTCACATCAGCACCACTCACACCAGCACCACTCACACCAGCACCACTCACATCAGCACCACTCACACCAGCACCACTCACATCAGCACCACTCACATCAGCACCACTCACATCAGCACCACTCACATCAGCACCACTCACACCAGCACCACTCACATCAGCACCACTCACATCAGCACCACTCACACCAGCACCACTCACACCAGCACCACTCACATCAGCACCACTCACACCAGCACCACTCACATCAGCACCACTCACACCAGCACCACTCACATCAGCACCACTCACATCAGCACCACTCACATCAGCACCACTCACATCAGCACCACTCACACCAGCACCACTCACACCAGCACCACTCACATCAGCACCACTCACATCAGCACCACTCACATCAGCACCACTCACATCAGCACCACTCACATCAGCACCACTCACATCAGCACCACTCACATCAGCACCACTCACATCAGCACCACTCACATCAGCACCACTCACACCAGCACCACTCACACCAGCACCACTCACACCAGCACCACTCACATCAGCACCACTCACATCAGCACCACTCACATCAGCACCACTCACATCAGCACCACTCACATCAGCACCACTCACACCAGCACCACTCACATCAGCACCACTCACATCAGCACCACTCACATCAGCACCACTCACATCAGCACCACTCACATCAGCACCACTCACATCAGCACCACTCACATCAGCACCACTCACATCAGCACCACTCACATCAGCACCACTCACACCAGCACCACTCACACCAGCACCACTCACATCAGCACCACTCACATCAGCACCACTCACATCAGCACCACTCACATCAGCACCACTCACATCAGCACCACTCACACCAGCACCACTCACACCAGCACCACTCACACCAGCACCACTCACATCAGCACCACTCACATCAGCACCACTCACATCAGCACCACTCACATCAGCACCACTCACACCAGCACCACTCACACCAGCACCACTCACACCAGCACCACTCACATCAGCACCACTCACATCAGCACCACTCACACAGCACCACTCACATCAGCACCACTCACATCAGCACCACTCACATCAGCACCACTCACATCAGCACCACTCACATCAGCACCACTCACATCAGCACCACTCACATCAGCACCACTCACATCAGCACCACTCACATCAGCACCACTCACACCAGCACCACTCACACCAGCACCACTCACACCAGCACCACTCACATCAGCACCACTCACACCAGCACCACTCACACCAGCACCACTCACATCAGCACCACTCACACCAGCACCACTCACACCAGCACCACTCACATCAGCACCACTCACATCAGCACCACTCACATCAGCACCACTCACATCAGCACCACTCACATCAGCACCACTCACATCAGCACCACTCACATCAGCACCACTCACACAGCACCACTCACACCAGCACCACTCACATCAGCACCACTCACATCAGCACCACTCACATCAGCACCACTCACATCAGCACCACTCACATCAGCACCACTCACACCAGCACCACTCACACCAGCACCACTCACACCAGCACCACTCACACCAGCACCACTCACATCAGCACCACTCACATCAGCACCACTCACATCAGCACCACTCACACCAGCACCACTCACATCAGCACCACTCACACCAGCACCACTCACACCAGCACCACTCACATCAGCACCACTCACATCAGCACCACTCACATCAGCACCGACCACAGAACTCCCCTTGCTCCCATCCACCCATCAACCCTTAACCCGTGTGTCCCATGCGTCCTATGCACCCACCAGGTATGCACTGATGGAGGACAGTCAGCAGCAGCAGCTAGCAGAGGACGTCGGTTCCACGCGTCCCATGGTGCTGCAGAGCCTGCGAGACCTTGCCCACGATGCCATGCTCTTCTAGCCTTAACCCTGTTACTGTGCTCTTCAACCACAATCCCCTGACTGTGTCGGGAAAGGACCAACTGCTTTACGTGAAGCATAAGGCAGCAAGGAGCAGCACCTAGCACAAGGCATGGGCTCCAGATGAGTCATGTCATGCCCACGAGTCAAATGGTGCTGCAGAACGCTTTTGAGTCGACTCAAAACCAGATGAGTCATGTCATGCCCACGAGTCAAATGGTGCTGCAGAACGCTTTTGAGCCGACTCAAAACCAGATGAGTCATGTCATGCCCACGAGTCAAATGATGCTGCAGAACCCCCGGCCGGGCCGGAACCTCAAGCACAGCGCCTTGATCCTGCGGCGAAATTCAACCGTGCGCCGTGGGGAACCCGTTTCAAACCGGTTCCTGCCTTTTCCCTTACTGATGCATCTGCTTGCGACAGTCCTGATGCTCCAACCGTTTCCGACACACCTTGGCCCTTCATCTTCATCTTCGGTACTAGCGAATTTAGCAAATTTGACGAATCGGAACAGTTCTATAACCGAAAAGGCTGAAAGGGCCAGGATGCGGAAATGAGGCAACCTAAGAACTCTAAAAGCGACTTGGGCATACCGTGTAAGGTAGAATACCGCTAATCGTTTCTAGACCCTCGTTGTGTGCGCTTGATTGACCCGCGACCAGGGCTGGCGATTCATTTTATGCCTCCTTGAATCTGGGAAAAGAAATCCCCTTGTATTATGGGTTGTTGAATTGTGTATGGTATGTAGGTTGTGTAGGCTACAGTGGGGTAGCCACTAAGGGGTACAACCCCTTTAGGGTTTCACTTTGGTACCCCATTCATCTCATAGTTCATCATTCCTGCTAGTTCTTTCAACATGCTATCAGAGCAGTAGGTCCGTAGGACCGCTTCTCTTAGGGCCCACCCGTTACCGCATTACCCCACAGCCTACCCGGCCCTATACCGCCCACCCGCGCCGCCCCTAAAGCCACGCACGCTGCCTCTGCTGCATAGCGCGCCGCTAGTTGCTGCCCCGCGCACGACCCCTGCAGCCCGCGCGCTGCTTTCCCTGCCCCTCGCGGCCCCTCAGCAGCCCCGCCCGCCGCCTGTTCTGCCCCCCACTCGACCCCTGCGGCCCGCGCCCTGCCTCCCCTGCCCCTCTCGGCCCCTTAGCAGCCCCGCGCGCCGCATCCCCTGCCCCGCGCGCACCCTCTGCAGCCCTCGCGCTGCCTCCCCTGCCCCTCGTGGCCCCCCTAACTGCCCCGCGAGTCGCTTCCCTAGCCCGCGCGCTGCATCCCCTGCCCCGCGCGCCGCTTCCCTTGCCCGCGCGCCGCGTCCCCTGCCCTGCGCGCACCCTCAGCAGCCCTCGCGCTACCCCTGCCCCATCCGCGCGCAGCTCTCTGCAGCCCGCGCCCTGACCCAGCAGCCGTCGCGCTGCCTCTGCCCCACCCCGCGCGCAGCCCCAGCAGCCCGTGCCCTACCCCTGCAGCCGTCGCGCTGCCCCCTGCCCCTGCTCTACCCCGTGCGCCGCCCTTGCAGCTCGTGCGCCGCCCTTGCAGTCTGCGCTCCTGCACAATGGCCACTCTGCGCCTTCTTGCATTCGATCCTGACGGCCGCCCAGTCAAATTCGACACCTGGCTCCAGGACCTGCAACTGTACCTCCTGAGCGACGCTAAGGACGGTGTCTCGCTTTATGACCTAGTGACTTGTGCCTCCACTGCCCCACCAGCTTCAGCTGACGCTACCACACGCTCGCAGTGGCTTACCCGTGATGCTACTGCTCGCCTAGCCATTCGCAACCACCTGCCGGTAGCTGAATGCGAGCATTTTGACCAGGCGAAAACTGTTAAGGCTCTGTACGACACTGTAGTTGCCCGTTACTCTTCCCTGCTTAGTCGCCTCTTCCTGCCTTACCTTTTCCCCGACCTGTCGTCCTTTGCCACTGTAGACGACCTCCTCTCCCACCTTCGCGCTATAGACGCTCGTTACCGTGCTGCCCTCCCTGCCGAGTTTCTCACCAAGAACGAGCCCCCGATCTACATCACTCTCCACTTTATAGTGACCCGCCTCCCTGACTCTCTTTGTGGGGTCCGGGACACCCTTCCTACAGGGGTGTTCCCCCTCCCCCCTTGCCCCCTCTGTTGCCTCTGCCGCTACAGTCGACTTCACTGGAGCGGAGGAGGTCGGCGCTGCTTCTGCTCCTAGTGGGAAGCGCCGCCGTGGCAAGGGCAAGGGCAAGAGTGGTGGGAGTGGCGGCGGGGGGGGTAGCGGTGGAGGTGGTTGGGGTGGCGGAGGTGGTGGAGGTGGCGGTGGGAGTGGTGGAGCGAGTGGGGGCGTCGGCGGCAGAGGTGGCGGCGGCGGCGGGGGTGGTGGGGGCAGTGGTCGTGGTGGTAGTGGGAGCAGTGGTGGCGGGAGTGGCAGCGGCGGGAGTGGTGGCAGCGGCGGCGGTGGTGGTCAGCGGCAGCAGCAGCAGCAGCGTCCGCGTGAGACCCTCTCGCCCCAGCAGCTTCGTGAGTGGCTTGCTCAGCGTGCGGCGTATAGGGGTGGTGGTAGTGGTCGCCAGGGCTCAGGCTATCAGGGTAAATGCTCGTTCTTGACTGAAAATCCAAGGTATTTTTCATCCGAACTCAGATTTTTACAGGGGAGTTTTTCAGCCATCCCTTACTGAATCCGAGCACTTCCAGGACTGACTCTGATGAATCCGAGTATTCACCTAACTAACTCGGAGCTTTTTCCTATGAAGGCTCTAACCCCCCTTACCTCCCGCCTCCCCCCACAACACACGCAAACTCCACCCCCTCTTCCTGGACGTTTGAAATCTTCCCACCAGCTCCTTCTCGTTCCTCCCTCATCGCATTCTACATTTGTATACCTTCTGTTTGTGGGGAGAAGCGAGTATCAATTTGCTGTCTGAGCAGAGATCCACACAAATCCAGCACAACATACACCAACGCGCAAAGTCCGCAGAGTGTCCACTGCCGCGGAACACAAGAATTACGTAAACGAGAAGTTATTCGGCTGGCCCTGATTTTTCCGAGCGATTTTCCGCCTGACCCAGGGTTTTCAAGGCAGTTTTCGCAAGGGAGCCAAAACGTCCGAGCTGGCGAAAATCCTAACGTAAGCCCTGGTGGTCGCTGCCCGTACGTTATTCGTACAGGTCCCCGCGCTGGTCAGACGTGCGGGAAGTTTCACACCCAGCACCGCTGTTTCTCCCGCCTAGACGACGCTTGGCGTCAGGAGATGGGCGACGAGTATGAACTGCCCCGCTGGGTAGCGCTGCTGCAGTCTGGTGTTGATATCTTTGCTCTTGACTTTGATGCTATTATTGCTGCCATGTATGCTCTGTCTACTAGTGTTGAGGGTGACTGTTACTTGTGTGCGCCGTATGACCCTGGTATAGAGGCTGCTGCTCTAGGTGCTAGTGAGTCCGCTCTCTCTGGTACTGCGCCTGCTGAGGCCTCGCACACCTTCACGCTTGACTCAGGTGCTTCTCGCTGCTTCTTTCGCGACAGTACCACAGTCACACCACTCACCAGGCCTGTGGCCATTTCTCTGGCTGACCCCTCTGGGGGCCCAGTTCTTGCACGCTCCTCTACTGTGCTCCCGTGCCCGGCCGTTCCGTCCGGTTCCCTGTCTGGTCTCCACCTCCCCTCGTTCTCAACGAACTTGGTGAGCAACGCAGTCCTCCAGGATGCAGGGGTTGATACCTTTACACCTAGGTGGTAGCGTGTGGCGATCTGTACGTGCTCTCGGACTGGCCGTCACCTGGCCACGTTCACTCGTCGGTCGGGGTTGAGTCTTTACACACTGACTACTGCGCTGCCTCAGGTAGCTGCGTCTGCTCAGGTGTCCGCGTCAGGTCAGGTAGCAGCCCCCTGTGAGTGTCGCCGCCTGTCGCACCAGACTCTCCTTTGGCACCACCGCCTTGGTCACCCCTCCCTGCCACGCCTTCGTGGCATGCACTCTCGCCTTCTGGTCTCTGGTCTTCCCAGGTCTCTGCCTTCCCTCCCACCCTCGCCTGCCCCGCCCTGCATTCCTTGCGTCGAGGGGCGGCAGCGCGCCGCTCCTCACTCCTCCTCGTTTCCCCCGACGACAGCCCCTGTGCAGACTCTCCACATGGACGTGTGGGGCCCAGCCCGCGTCCAGGGACAGGGCCGCGAGCGATACTTTCTGCTGGTTGTTGACGACTACTCGCGTTACACCACGGTCTTCCCCTTGCGCAGCAAGAGTGAGGTCCCTGCGGTTTTGATCCGTTGGATCCGAGCTGTTTGTCTCCAGCTGCGCGAGCGGTTCCGCACGGACCTTCCTATCCTGGTCTGCGCTGTGACACGGGTGGTGAGTTCTCCTCTGGCCTCTTGGGGTCCTTTTGTGAGGAGGAGGGCATTCACCAGTCGTACACGCTTCCGGCCTCTCCGCAGCAAAATGGGATTGCTGAGCGCCGTATCGACTTAGTCATGGAGGTCGCTCGTACCTCCATGATCCATGCAGCGGCTCCCCATTTTCTGTGGCCGTTTGCGGTCCGGTATGCCGCGCATCAGCTCAACCTCTGGCCCCCTGTCTCCTTGCCGGAGACCTCGCCTACACTTCGTTGGACGGGGAAGGTTGGCGATGCGTCGCGGTTCCGGGTCTGGGGTTCCTGTGCCTTTGTCCGCGATGCTCCTTCAGGTGTCTCTCAGGTAGACCCACTTCCCTTAGCTGAGCCTATCAAGGTGACGGGTGACTCAGGTGCTGCTGGAGGTGGTGCTGCTCGGGGTTCTGAGCCTGGGGGTGCAGAGCCTGGAGGGGCTGGTTCTGGGGGTGCTACTCAAGGTGCTGAGCCTGGGGGTGCTGAGCCTGGGGGTGTTGAGCCTGGGGGTGCTGCTTCTGGGGGTGCTGAGCCTGGGGGTGCTACGTCTGGGGGTGCTGAGCCTGGTGGAGCTGGAGGCACTCCCGCTGGGGACACTGGAGCTGGAGGTCTTGCTGGAGTTGGAGGTACTGGGGGTACTGGAGCTACTAGTCCTGGAGGTCCTCTAGGTGCCCCACCACCACAGTCTAGTTGGCGATAGCCTCTCTCCCCACAGCAGCATCGTGAGTGGCTTGCTCGACGCACTCGCCTTCGGAGTGCCGCTGCTGGAGCTGGAGGTCCTGCCACTGG